CTGCGTGCGATCGGTGAGGAAGGAGGAGAACCACCGCATCACGGTGCCTCCCACTCCCAACTCCACCAGACGCCGCAGCATGATACCGTGGTCCACAGTATCAAAAGCCGCTGAGAGGTCCAAAAGAACTAGGACAGAGGAATAACCCCTGTCCCGGGCCCTCCAGAGATCATTCACCAATGTGACCAATGCCGTTTCCATGCTGTATCCCGGTCTGAAGCCTGACTGGAGCGGGTCTAGACAGACTGTTTCCTCCAGGTGTCGGGGGAACTGCTGCGCAACCACACTCTCAACAACCTTCGCCACAAAGCGAAGGTTGGAGACCGGACGATAGTTAGCTAATACATCTGGGTCCAGGGAAGGCTTCTTAAGGAGGGGCCTCACCACCGCCTCCTTCAAGGCCGTGGGGAAGACACCCTCCCATAAAGAAGCATTTATAATTCCCTGGAGCCAGGCTCGTGTCCCCTCCCGGGCAGCCAGTACCAGCCAGGAGGGGCACGGATCCAGTAAACATGTGGTTGCATTCAGCCTCCCCAGAATCCTGTCCACGTCCTCAGGAGCCACAGAGTCAAACTCGTCCCATATAACAGTCTCAAGACTTACTCCTGTCTCCTCCCCCAGGGCCACCCAGTCAGAATCAAGACCTTCTCGAATCCGAGCGACTTTGTCATACAGATATTGAGCAAAGTCCTCGGCCCTCCCCTCCAGGGAGTCCCCTCCCCCCCTCAACTGAAGGCGAGAGCGGGTCACCCTGAAGAGGGTGGCTGGGCGATTATCTGATGATGCAATGAGGGTGGAGTAGTAGTTAGACCTCGCCACCCTCATCGCCACTAGGTAGGATCTAACCTGTATCCTTGCCTGTGTTCGGTCGGATTCGGATCGGCTCGCCCTCCAACTGCTCTCCAGGCGTCTTTTCCGGCGCTTAATCTCTCTCAGCTCCTCGGTAAACCAGGGAGCCAATTGAGATCTGCGCCGGGTCAGAGGCCGCAAAGGCACAACTCGGTCCAATGCTGCGGCAGCGGCCGTCTCCCATGCCGCCGCCAGATTTTCAACCGAATCGTGAACTAGGTCCTCAGGATATGGCCCAAGCTCCGTCAGGAACCTCTCCGGGTCCATCAGGCGCCTGGGGTGGAACCATCTAAGCGGTTCCTCCTCCCTGAGGCGGGGGGGAGTGGTCCGGAAGTCCATCCTGAGGAGTGAATGATCTGACCATGACAGGGGTTCAACAACTACCTCCCCCGTTTCCAGATCATTCTGCCACTGGCCAGAGACAAAAATTAGATCTAGTGTGTGTCCCCCCGTGTGAGTTGGGGCATGAACTAATTGGGTCAAGTCCAAGGCCGTCATGGAGGCCAAGAACTCCCGAGCCGTCGCCGACGTTTCGCCCGCCGATGGCAGATTGAAATCCCCCATAACTATAAGTCTGGGGGTCTCAACTACCACTCCGGCTATTACGTCGGCCAGCTCAGGCAGGGCTGTTGATACATAGCAGGGAGCCAGGTATATAATCAACAGGCCCACTTGAACCCCCTGTCCCCACTTCACAAGGAGGGACTCTCCACCATCTATCTGAGGCACAGTGGTCTCCCTCGGACATAGATTCTCCCTTATAATGATTCTCCCTTATAATTATAAACTTATAATAAGTTTCCACATTGATTTTGCTTATCAGAAGGTTGCAAGAAGGACTCATATGACTTAAGGACACTGCAACAGTCATAAATGTGAGTCAGATGTCAAGGATCTGAATGTAAATCACATAACCATGGGAATGCTGCAACAGTCATAAATGTGAAAAATGGTCATAGGTTACTTTGTAACTTTGTGCCATTGTAACTTCAAATTGTCACTAAGTGAACAAGGTATACAAAGGCAAGAAATCATTGGGGAATTAATGTTTAACATTGCAATTGTACTTGTTTACAACTAGTTTAAAATATTTCACATTTCTTTGGTCTTCCTGTCCCAAGTTCAGATAAATAATAATAATAATAATAATAATAATAATAATAATAATAATAATAATAATAATAGTAGTAGTAGTAGTAGTAGTAGTAGTAGTAGTAGTAGTAGTAGTAGTAAAGTTGGAAGGGACCTTGGAGTCATCTAGTCCAACCCCCTGCTCAGGCAGGAAACCCTATACCATTTCGGACAAATGGCTGTCCAGTCTCTTCTTAAAAACTTCCAGTATTGGAGCATTCACCACTTCTGGAGGCAGGTTGTTCCACTGGTTAATTGTTCTAAAGTATGACATTGTACTGAAAAACAAAGACATTCAATATTATTCTGTTTCTGTATTGCCTCTTAGTCTTCATTATGTTTCTATGGTTTTCTTTTTGTGAGAGTATCCACATCTTTTTTTTTACAATCCACAGTAGTACCAGTATTGACACTTTGGATAAGTAGCTGCTTCAATTAACCATAATACACTCAATTTGCCAGCAAATTTGGAAAACTCAACAGGCCACAGGATTGGAAACGATCAGTTTACATTCTAATTCCAAAGAAAGGCAATGCCAAAGAATGTTCAAACTATTGCACTATTGCACTCATTTCACATGCTAGTAAAGTTATGCTTAAAATCCTACAAGCTAGACTCCAGCAGTATATGGATCGAGAACTACCAGAAGTACAGGCAGGATTTTGAAGAGGCAGAGGAACTAGAGATCAAATTGCCAACATACGCTGCATCATGGAGAAAGCTAGGGAGTTCCAGAAAAACATCTACTTCTGCTTCATTGACTATGCTAAAGCCTTTGATTGTGTGGATCCCAAAAAAAATGGGGCAACTTCTTAAAGAGATGGGAGTACCAGGCCATCTTATTTTTCTCTTGAGAAACCTATATGTGGGTCAAGAAGCAACAGTGAGAACTGGACACGGAACCACTGATTGGTTCAAAATTGGGAAAGGAGTCTGGCAAGGCTGTATACTGTCACCCTGCCTATTTAACTTATATACAGAGCACATCATGAGAAAGGCAGGGCTAGATGAATCAAAAGTTGGAATTAAGATTGCCAGGAGAAATATGAACAACCTAAGATATGCAGATGATACCACTGTAATGGCAGAAAGTGAAGAGGAACTAAAAAGCCTCTTGATGCAGGTAAAGAAGGAGAGTGCAAAAGTTGGCTTGAAACTCAACATTAAGAAAACCAAAATCATGGCATCTGGCCCTCTCAATTCCTGGCAAATAGATGGGGAAGAAATGGAGATAGTGACAGATTTTATTTTCCTGGGCTCCAAGATCACCTCAGATGGGGGCTGCAGACAAGAAATTAAAATATGCTTGCTCCTGGGAAGGAAAGCTATGGCAAATCTAGACAGCATACTAAAAAGCAGAGACATCACCCTGCCAACAAAGGTGTGTATAGTCAAGGCCATGGTTTTTCCAGTTGCAATGTATGGATGTGAAAGTTGGACCATAAGAAAGGCTGAGCGCCAAAGAATTGAGGCCTTTGAACTATGGTGCTGGAGAAGACTCCTGCGAGTCCCTTGGACTGCAAGGCATTCAAACCAGTCAGTCCTAGCAGAGATCAACCCCGACTGCTCTTTAGAAGGCCAGATCCAGAAGCTGAAACTCAAATACTTTGGCCACCTAATGAGAAGGAAGGACTCACTGAAGAAGGGCCTAATGCTGGGAAAGATTGAGGGCAATAGAAGAAGGGGACAAAAGAGAATGAGGTGGCTGGATGGAGTCACTGAAGCAGTAGGTGTGAACTTAAATGGACTCCAGAAGATGGTAGAGGATAGGAAGACCTGGAGGAACGTTGTCCATGGGGTCATGATGGGTCGGACACGACTTCGCAATTAACAACAATAACTTCTATTTCATACACCTGAAATTAAAGATCACTATAGCTAGTTTTGGATTGTATGTTCTAGGATTACTATGTAAAAATAATATTTATTTCCTCCTTAAGATGACTTTGAACAAAGGCTTGATATATGATCTGATTTTTTAAAATATTTTATGTTGGTTCAAAAGTTGATGTTTTCCTATTTTTCTTTCCTACAAATTTCTATGGGACACATTTCATAGGAAATTTCATACACATACCTACCTACCTACCTACCTACCTACCTATCTACCTACCTACCTACCTACCTACATACATACATACATACATACATACATACATACATAAAAACTATTTACTGAGTATTCACTGATAACAGGTGATCAGTTACAGGATAAGAAAAAAGATCCTCAAGATTATTTAGTTCCAACTTTCTTATCACTGAAACAAACTATAGATCTAGTAAAAACAAAACAAAATAAAATTTCCAATTAGCTATGATGAACTCTGGGGAATGTAATAAGTCTCTGATAACACAAAGGAGGCTTGATGAAATTTGCTTCATACATAGGAAATCCATTAAATTCCTCATTGATTAGAAAAGCAATATACAATTGCAGGCTAGCTTTTAAAGAAAGACTACTAATGCTTAGTGAACAAAATGGCTAATTTCTTCATGAAACACTGAAATTAAAAATAGTGCTGAATGGAATTTATTGGGATGTAAGTAAATCTCTTCACTGTTTACTACCTTCTTTTCATCTTTCTTCCTCCCATGATCTTTTTTTAAATAATATTTTATTAGTTTTCTAATTTTACAATTAAACAGTTAAAAGCAACATGGAGACTGGGTTAATCAATAATTCAATAGCATATATAAATCTTTAGTACAGAAAGAAATTAAAGAAATAATAGAAAAAAATAAATAAAAATAGTTAACTGAATTAATAAAAATCACCTAAACATTTCATTGAGTTATCTTACAATAATGTATGAACATGTGCTTAATTTTTTTAAAATATTATGAAATCTGTGTCAAATGGGAAAAAAATTGTCATTTCTAATTGACAGACAAAATAAAAAATAAAAATATAGAACATTCAGATCTGTCCTGGCTCTGTTTAATTGCATTTTCAAAAATGGATAAATTATATTTTTCTTGAATCCATTTTGATGTCTAGAATAATAGCACCATTTTTAAAGAGTATTGATTATATTGACCATGGGGGGGGGGGGGGAAACAAGAGGATTATAGAAATATTTGTAATAGTATGGGAACAGTAAAAAAAACAACAATGTCAATAGGACAGTACAAGTTAAATCAATTAAGAATTTTTATCTTTTACATTATTAGCCTTTTAAAATATATGTAAGCTGTGAGGAAGACAAGACAGATTTACAGTTCTTTACCTTAGCACTAATTGTCATAATCATAGTACAAAGCAAATATAACTTCTTGTGAGTATTGGTATTTGCTAAGTGTTTACACAATAGAACTCCTTCATTTCATAATAAAATTATCTATTGGATAATAATATTTACCAAAATAGTTTGATATCTGTTTCAGCTCTGATTGTGCTTACTTTTTAACCCAGAACTACATTTGGGACATATTAAGCTATTTAGAAAAAAATATAACATCTTTTATAGATAGGACTCCTAGGAGATTATCAAACTTTAGTTGCCAAAGAAGACTTGATAAAACCTTTTCAAATCAATATGAATAATGAAAGATATGTGTAATGACAACTTTTAAAAGATGAATAAATGTGTTGCAAGAATTAGCAGAATATGAAAACCTAATCATATAAAATCAGGCAACAATTGTATGAAGGAGGAAAATAAGCAAATACTTTCTTGATTTTTTCCTGTCCATAATCTTAATTCCCATATTCTGAATCTATCTATCTATCTATCTATCTATCTATCTATCTATCTATCTATCTATCTATCTATCTATCTATCTATCTATCTATCTATCTATCTATCTATCTATCTATCTATCTATCTATCTATCCAAATGGAAATGTATAGGAAATATATTAACAATACAAACCCTTTACTTCTAGGTTCTCATATCTATGACCAGAAATGGATAATGATACTACAGTGTTTTTTCTCTTGGAATTTTCAAATACACGGGAACTACAGCTTCTGTATGCAATGATACTTTTGTTCATATATTTAATTACATTAGCAGAAAACTTTCTAATTATTTCTGCAGTTATTTTGGACTCCCATCTTCACATCCCCATGTACTTCTTCCTGAAAAATTTAGCCTTTCAGGGCATTGGTTCTGTTTCAGTCATTGTCCCCAAAGCTGTTTTCAATTCAATTATGAACATAAATAATATTTCTTATACTGAATGTATAATACAAGTGTTTTTGTTTGTATTTTTCGTAGACTCTGATATTTCTCTTCTTACTATCATGGCATATGATCGGTATGTTGCCATTTGCAATCCTTTACAATATGAGATGATAATGAATAGGAAGGTTTGTACCAAAATAGTTTGTAGCGTGTGGATTGTCAACTTTCTCAATGCTGTATTAAACACAATGGGAACTTTCATTACTCCTTTTTGCTCCAATATTATCAATCAATTTTACTGTGAAATCCCACCTTTACTTAAACTTGCCTGCTCAGATGTATATGTAATTGAAACTGGAATTGTAGTATTTATTTTTACAATAACATTTGGTTGTTTTGCCTTTATCATTTTTACTTACATACAGATCTTTACTGCTGTTTCAAAAATCCCTTCTGCTCAAGGAAGGAAAAAGGCCTTCTCCACTTGCTTCCCTCACCTTACAGTTTTTTCTTTATTTTTATTTACAGCCTCACTTGCTTACCTGAAGCCTCAGTCTGACAAACCATCAAACTTTGATATCATTGTTACAATAATGTACTGCATTATTCCACCTCTGTTGAATCCAGTAATCTATAGCATGAGAAACAAGGATATTAAGGTTGCTCTATCAAGAATTCTTGGTGAAAAGATGCTTAAGGTGTAATTACAAATACTGAATATGAATTTTGTGGTTAACATGAATTCCTACCCTCTTTTTCACACACTTTTTCACATATTTTTCACACTCTTTTTCATATATTTTTCACACTTTTTTGTTTTATATTAAAAAGCTTATTTTACATATTTTGATTCCCAGGCCTAAATATTTAGCTTCCAAGCAAGTTTTATTTCTTGTGTTTAAATTGGAAAATACAATATATATTAGAAACTTTGATTTTATTTGTTTTGTAGGATTTGAAGAATGTTTCTCCAACACTGCTGATACAATAATTTCTTTGATAGATGATTATTCCTCCAACAATGGCCTACAATAGTTAACATGACAAATATAGAGAAAAAGGAACATAATGCCTATCATTTGCATAAGGCATCTCCCATTTTTGCACATTATATATTGGTAAAGTTAGTCCATATTTATTGTTTTTTTCCAATTCAGATTGTCATATATAAGTTAAACTAAAGGGATAGAATTGAATGTAATCTAATATTGTTTGTTAACTAAGGAAACTGGTTCTAAATGTATTTTGGTTATTTATTTGGTTTAGATGATCTCATTTTACAAGTCGTTATAAGATAATATAATTTTATTTACTAATTAAAAGAGTTGGAACAAAAGTATTTATTTATTTAATTATAAACTTATATAAATAATACTTTGTGTAAAGTATGTTTGATTCTGAAGTAGAGACCTTGTGTATACTTTTGGGTAGGTAGAGAGCACAAGGAATGGCCTGGAAGAACAGGATGAAGAGTCACTATCAAGGGAATTGTCAGATAAGTGGGACTTAAGCCAAGATCAGGAAAACATCTCACACAAGATCCTCCCTAGTTTACCTAAAGATAAAGTGAGTGAGGGGAAACGAATTGAAACATACAAGACTCTGTTACTATAGCTGTTACCATAAAAGTTTCAGTATTTATAGTTACAGAGCAGGGGAGAGAGTCATTAATTGTTAACAAATAACCCAATAAATGGATTTCCAGAAAAAGAAATAATAAAGGAGAGTATTTGTAGTTCAGGGATGAAATAAGGGGTCCTTGGTGTTTTCTGAGCTTGGTTGTGTTCTTGTAGATATTCAATTACCCAAACTAGGTAACATCATCAGTGCTAATATATAGCACTGATAGTGCTCTTTGAATCTCTTCAGACAAGGAAAAGAGATGACCCATAAGCTGTCCTTCATGAACAGACTGCAAGGTAGTAGTTCCAGCAGATTTAGAGCCTAGGGACCCAAGGAAATATCCATCTTGCTCAAATCATAGTCAGTATGTTTGAAAGGACACTAAGTTTGCAACCTTCCTTTTCTAATCACTTTCAAGGATTATTTATTAACTTCTTTCAGCCATTAGACTGACAATTTTGACAGCACAGGGTAAGTTTCCCTTGAATACTTTCAACTTCAAGTTTAAGAGATTAAAAAAGACTTTGATTTTAGAAATTTACAAATAGACTAAGGATACAGATAAACTTGAAGTAAGATTTTTGAATTAATTATAAAGAATCCTTTTCACAGAAAAATGATTTTGTTTTATTTTTTAAAATAATAATAATAAGAATATTGTGATTTAAAAACTGGACAATAGGAAGAACTAAAGATTACAATTAAAGGAGAACACCTAAATTCAACTTACAATTATAGAATGGAACAAAATATTCTGACACTGGTCATTTTAAAAGACTTTTTTCTTAAAAAATGGACTCAGACATTAATATTAATAGTATCAACAGAGTCTGGATATACTGGAGTATTATGAAGTGCACAATGAAAAGCAAATGAGTTTAATCTTTCTTGATGCACAAAAAGCTTTCGATAATGTGAAATGGGATTTTATATTTAATCAATTGTCGTATATGGACTTTGAGGAAAACTTTATAAATATGTTTAAATCAGTCTATTTTAATCAGGCAGAGAAAGTAATAATTAATGGAGAAACGATCGATAGCTTTCCAATTCAAAAAGGTACAAGGCAAGGTTGTCCGTTATCGCCATTGTTGTTTATATTATCCCTAGAGGTATTGATCAGAGTAATTCGAAAAGATAGACAGATGAAATTTTTTCAAAACCTTAACAAAAAGACAAAAAAGAATTAGGAAAGACAAAAAAGAATTAGGCATAAAAATAGAATTGATAGGGCTGGATAAAATACTATTAGGTACTGAGGAGAAAATGATTAAAAAGTTATATCATTATTTGTTAGATCAGGCAATGTACAAAAAACAGGTAAAAGAAACCATGTTAACGTGGAGCAGGGACTTTGATCTCAACTTTGATCTGCATATCTGGCAAGAACTATGGGCATGAAACAGGAAGCTCATCCTGGCCACATCCTACAAAGAAACCCTTTACAAAATGTTTTATAGATGGCACTTCCCACCCACAAGACTAGCTAAAATGGGCCCAAACATCTCCCCTATGTGCTGGAAATGTAATTTGGCAAGAGGGACATATTATCATATGTGGTGGGAGTGCCCGAAAGCCTGTGACTTTTGGAACAAGGTTAAAAAGTGGCTAGAAGAAATACTAATGACAGAGGTAGAGCTAAAACCAGAACTCTGTGTGGTATTACCACGCAGAAATACAATAAAGGGGCACTTTACTTAATGTTACATATCTTCATGGCTGCCAGATTGGCCTACGCACAAAACTGGAGAAATAAAGAAATTCTAACAGAAGAAGAGATTCTACATAAAATCTTATTGTGTGCTGATATGGATAGGCTTACTATGGAATTAAAGGACAAGACAAAAACGGACTATTTTGAAATCTGGGACAAATTTTATTGCTGGTACGAGTCAAGGATAACCGTTTCGGGCTTTAAGTTAGTGTTAAGATTGTGGTATATAAAACTGTATGCTAGTATATAGAGAAACAAATCTGAGACTGTATTATATAGGAAAATATGTATATATAGAGATTAGGAATTATAAGTATGACAAGGAACAAATTGTTAGGATTATATATACTGGAACAACACGTTATGTCCTTTTTTGTTTTAACTGTTTTATTAATAAAAAACTTTAAAAAAATAGTTTCAACAGAGTCTTCTCTCTGTGTGGAGAAAGAGTGTCTACAAAAGGTTGTGGAAGAGGAACAAGTTTTATGAGACAAGAATGGATTAAATGCACTGAAAATGGATTAAAAATAGTAGGCTATAAGAATGAAATGGAAAAAAGACATCCTACTAGACATACAATAGAAATTGGCTGATGATGTAATAACTAAAATGAAAATACAAACAATAAACCCAAAGAGTGACCTGTATATTTTTCCTATACTGAAGTTACAAAAAAGAGTTGTTAAAGTTTTAAACAAACTCCTGAAAGTGGACAAAGAAAAATATAAAAATAAATAAATTCTGTAACACTTGTTGAATGGACTAAATGTTAAAATTGTTAGAAGTAAAAGGAAGGAATATAAAGTTTATTTCTTTGATCAAGGTTAAAATATATATGTTATATATCACGATACTAGAAAGAGGCAATTTGGTGAATATAAGAACAGGATGTTGACATTATTTACATTATACAAAATTTAGATTGCCATTTCTGAGAAAGCTGAAAAAAGCTTCAGGAGACAAATTTGTGAAAATGGGAACAATAGCAATAGCACTTAGACTTATATACTGCTTCACAGTGCTTTAAAGCCCTCTCTAAGTGATTTACAGAGCCAGCATATTGCCCCCTACAATTTTACTGACCTCAGAAGGATGGAAGACTGAGTCAAACTTGAGCCAATGAGAACTGAAATATCAAACTGCTGGCAGCTGGCAATTAGAAGTAGCCTGCAGTACTGCATTATATCCATTGTGCCACTACAGCTCTTATAATAATATATTGAAGAACATACTCATTTATTTCATGCATATTCCAAGGATTAGTTGTTCCAGAAGCATATATCCAATGCACAAAGGCAAAGTGGTCTTGTTTTTTGTTCCAGTACCAATATACATTTTTCTGCCTTTAAGATTTCTTTGAATGGATACAGTTCATAATGATGTGGGAAATGAAAATATAGCCCCCTCCTCATATAACAAGATGAGGCTAAAGCAAACCTGAAATAGTCCCCCACAGAAGTGATTTGAAGCTTTAACTTAAACTTTATTCTGTTTCTCAATAAGGACATACTATTTGTAATCTGCTGAGTTTTGTGCAAAATAGGTAGTTCTGTGTATATTTGGAACATGAGTATTGTAATCGTGGGAAAAGAGGAATTGAAAGTAGCTGATGGATGCGGGTTCCAATGTACATGGGTATATGTGGAAAGTTATGATCAGCAGAAGGTCAGCAGGGAGTCAATAAAAAGTCAGCAAAGGTCAGCAGAAGTCAGCAAAAGTCAGCGGACCATCTGACTACAGTTTTAGAACAAGAAAGGGTATAAAAGGTTTGGACTGGACCTGATTGATTTGCCATTGGTCTATAGCTGTCCTTTTGGATTCTGCTATGTCATATGGTCCTCATTGCAATGGGTTATTAATTTAAGTGATGTTGTGTTATTATGCTTGCCTATGTTCCAAATCACTATCAAAATAAACCTCTGAATCTTAAAGTAAGAATTATTGTTTGTGTAGCTGTCTTTTGTCTTTTTCTATTGGGTTTTTCCACGACAGTGAGATATGGTTGAAAATAGGAGAGTCATTCAAATATTTTGATGTTTCTTAAAAGGCATACACAAACAAACCAAAAAAGAAATATTTCTAAAAAACAATGGCCACAAGTAAAAACAAAAACAAAAATGAGTCTTTTAAATGTCTCCTTCTACTGTATGCTGTTGTCAAGTAGAATAGATTAAATGCCCTTCATTACAGATTAATAATATGGAACAACAAAATTTCCAAAGAGTATTTTAAATTCTTATTTTAAGAGGAATGGGACTATATTTTGAAAAGCCAAACCAGTAATAAACTCAGGATCACTGGTGCTATCTTAATTAAAGATCCAGATTCTTTGTCTGATTTGTTGCTCAAGGATTTCTTTTTCTTCTT